ATCATGCCTTGTTACCACTGTGCAGGCTGGTGGCGGTGGTGTAATGGTGTAGGGGATGTTTTCTTGGCACACTTTAGGCCCCTTAGTGCATTGTTTCTGACCATGTCCATCCCTTTATGACCACCATGTACCCATCCTCTGATGGCTACTTCCAGCAGGATAATGCACCATGTCACAAAGCTCGAATCATTTCAAATTGGTTTGTTGAACATGACAATGAGTTCACTGTACTAAAATGGCCCCCACAGTCACCAGGTCTCAACCCAATAGAGCATCTTTGGGATGTGGTGGAACGGGAGCTTCGTGCCCTGGATGTGCATCCCACAAATCTCCATCAACTTCAACATGCTATCCTATCAATATGGGCCAACATTTCTAAAGAATGCTTTCAGCACCTTGTTGAATCAATGCCACTTAGAATTAAGGCAGTTCTGAAGGCGAAAGGGGGTCAAACACCGTATTAGTATGGTGTTCCTAATAATCCTTTAGGTGAGTGTGTGTATATATATATATATATATATTTATTTTATTTTTTTATTTTACAACTACAGTGGTACCTCGGTTCTCCAACTCACTAGAACTCGAATTTCTTGAAAGTCGAACAAACCAGTTTGACCTAGAACTCGATCTGAATATCAGAAGTCGAACCGTGAATGCTGACCTAATATAAATTGTACGCGCCAGGAAATGAGTCATACTACAATGCAATTCTTACTTGAATGTCTTCTTCACAACTTTAGAGCATTTATGTCATTTATTTAAACTTTATTTTACCAGGTAAATTAACTGAAAATCAGTTCTCACTGCTTTACTGTGATATTCGGGAGAAATAGCAGATTACGCATCGGAACTGCCTGGGATACAAACGTCATGCGTGTAATTAAACTCTTCAGCCAATAAGGGTAAAGGTATGTCGTCACGGAGGCGGTACCAGTTTGTGCAGCTGGGTGAGAGGTCGCAATGCATCTAACCCTAATGCATTGCGTCAGGATCAGAATGCGTTGCTTTAAGCCAGCGCTGTAAGCAAGTCGAATGCACCCAATGACCGGACTGGGGAAACAAACTGAAATGCGGAGAACTAATGAAAATACAGAGGACTAATGACAACATCCAGAAACAGCTGATCACATGGAGATCCCACACGAGGTTAATGAGGGGGCGTGGCACACGGAAGGAGCGGACGATTGGAGCAGGACACATTGGTTTTTTTTAACTTTACACATTGGATACATTTATTTTCTTACTTTACAAATTACTGTTTTGATAAATGTCCTTAATGTGTTTAGTACAGTATGTGCTCTTCTTGTTTTATCCGGTTCATTTTGTGTTTAAATGCTAAAAAAAAACATATTTAGGCATAATATTTTGGGGCCGGGAACAGATTAATTTGTTTTCCATAATTTTTTATGGGGAAATTTCGATCAGAACCCAAACTTTTTAGGATTCGATCCGGAGTTCTGAACGGATTAAGTTCGAGTTCTGAGGTACCACTGTATTTTATTCTTGAGCCGTCCTTTAATACTCTGTACAATACGATATTTTGTATAAAACAATATAACCAAAAAAGTGATAAATTTAAATGAGCGGACGATTGGGGCAGGACAGGGGTAATGTTGGGATAAGATCTTTATCGTTTTGGAAGCCATTAAGAAGAAAATGCTCTTCTTGTTTTATCCTGTTCATTTTGTGTTTAAATGCTAAAAAAATAAAACATATTTACATATTTAGGTGTAATTTTGGGGGACAGGGAACCAATTAATTGGTTTTCTATTATTTCTTATGGGACAAATTCGATCAGAACTCGAACTTTTTAGGATTCGATCCGGAGTCCGGAACGGATTAAGTTCGAGAACCGAGGTACCACTGTATTTATATCACATGTGCACTCCACTCCTAATGTATTTTCTTTTCTGTTTTTGTCTCCTGCCTTGTCTATCTGTGCTATGTATGTCAGTGCCCTTGATATATATTGTTTTGCTGTTTGCAACCAGATGTCTCCTTGCAATCAACAAAGCCTATCATCCATCCATCCATCCATCCATCTATCTATCTATGCTCTGAAGTAAATATACAATTAATCTATTTAATAGTTTTGCTGTGAGATCATGCAGTGTCCTATTTTAATAACCACTTACCACTTCATAATCCACTTATGGTGATGGTTAGGAGTTTTTAAACTACATAAAGCAATTTTAAACCATATTATTGTTAGTTTCAGTGTAAACTGGACCTTCTGTGGCCCCCTTCTCCAAATCCAATAGCTTGGAGCCATTCAGAGAGCCGAGGGATAAAAGAAAGAATCAGCTCAGAAAGCCCACATGGGATTTTGCTTGTGAATTATGAGCCCTGGGAGCGAACTGTCCTGGGTCAAAGGAAGACTCCCACCAGGGCGTCTGCAGGCATTGGTGCTCTCCACCACAAAAACAGATGGTTTAGCCCTGGTTTCACCCCTTTAATAACACCTCCACTCTTTATTATATCCTATCAAGGTCCATTAGCCCCCCACCATGTGTGAACTACAGTGCCACAGGACTTCCACCATGCAGCTTCTGAGGCACTTCCAAGCTCCTGGGGTTAGCCTGGCCAATGGAAACCAGCCAGCTAGCGAACATTAAAACAAGGAAGTAACAGTGGCCAGGGCTGGCAAGAAGTCAACTGAGTGCAAAGCACATCTCTAAGTGTTTAAAAAATGAGGCAGTTCTGGATCAATACTCTGTTATTTGCTGTGCTGGTATTGTCTACTCACAGGGACAAAGAACACAAAAACACAAAAAACTAAGATGCGATTGGGAGACTGTGGATGCTGTAGTGTACTGTACAAAGCAGAAAAAAATCATACCACTGTTCACACATCTAATGGTTTTATTTCATTCTTATTTAAAAAAAATTAAAGTATCAGTAGAATCATTATTCAGTTGTAAATTGCACACAAACCTTCTGCATTAAGGGACACGAAAGCCCATCCTTCTGTGGTTTTCATATTCCCAAAACTTTCCTGAGTACAAGACACCTTGTTTACCCAAATAGACGTTTGAATCTATTCACTTAAATGTTTAACCTCTGTAACTGATTTCACAACAACACAAAAATTAATTATCAATTAAAGAACTAATCCTAACAAAGGGAGAATTGCTGGTCCTTTTTCCCAGGCAGACTGAACACAGGACAAATGTGGCAGTTTTCTCTGTAAAGACTGTTCACTTGTTTACCTCGAGCCTCAAACAAATGTGTCGCTTGTCACGGCTTCCCGCTATCGAGTCAGACAGATTCTGTTGTGCATGGTGGCTCACAGTTAGATTTTTTTAGAAGTCTTTCTTCATCATGGAAGATTATCTTTACCCTGGATTTCAGGAGGGGCATCGTTAAAGCTTGTGGCACATTCTAAGGTGCAAGTGCACATATCAGTGTTGTTCTCTTGTTTGTTTATCAGAGACACTGTTGTTCAGCCAAAGAAGGCATCAACCTTCCAGTACTGTGTATGGTATATCCAATGGGCTGGTAGCTTTAAATTAGGAAAAATATCTGGATTCCAATTAGCAAGCATCCAATTACAGAAGTGAATGCTGGAGAATATGCAGTGCTTCTAATATTTAAACAAATATTGGTCTTTACTTTAGCATACCAAATTATCCTGATGTTTTGCATAGACAGAGTTTACAAAACTACAGATTTACTCACTATTAACACATTTCAAAGGAGGATAAATCAAAGTCCAGTGGAGGCCAACAATAAGTGAAAGACACTGGGAAGAAAGTCAAGCAGGGGCATTCATTCACAAAATGGTACCTAGAGGACAACTCCATCATTCTGACAGGGTCCTCCTTGGCTCAGCAAGGTCCGTCAGGATCTCTCCAGATGGTTGTGTCCTAGTGCCAGTTGGAAGCCTCTAGTCCCTTTATCTCCATCTTCAAAGACTCCTCAGTAGACTGCCAGCATAAAAGGCACAATGACATGGTTGTTTTGTCCCTACACAACTGCTCTGATATTGCTTCAGCCAGGAAACAGCAGTACAGAAACTCTGTCTTCTAGCGCTCGATTGATCAGGGCAGATGACAGTGGACACTGCCAGCCAGAAATGAATGGGCCTGAAAGTGTACTCCACAGTGCTATAGTATTAAATGTCAACCAGCATATGACAAGACTGCATTCAAAATGAACAATATGGAGTTTGACCACATTTGCTTTTACAACCTTAAATGTGAAGATGTCCATGCATGATATTTTAAATGTGCTTTGTTAATATTTTGGGTTAGTGTACCATTATTACTAACCCACTTTTTCTGTGTTCATTTGTAATTAATATAACAGATTTTCATATTACTTACGTCAGTGTTCTCTACATGACACTATAGATTGCATCAACTACACATAATCAAATGCATACGCAGGGTGAAAACTGATTCCTTTTCAATACGCAACATAGTTTGTTCATAATCTCCAGCAATACACTATATTCATAACAACTCAATAATATGCAACACTGTGATTATTAGTTAGTTAGTAGTGCAGGAACTTGTAAAACTGATCATACGTGTCATTCTGGAAAAAAAGGCAAACATACTCAGAGAATAATAAACATTTGCGACCTTATTTTGCACTCAGGTCATGGTCCTGAACAGAGTATCAGAAGCATTCCATGTGGATTCCAGCCCATGCTGACCCATTACTTCCCATATCTGAATTAGCCAGAAGTGGATCTCTACCCTGAGGCGCATGTGCCATCTCATCCTCCAGACAGAGATCTGGTGACTGGGCAGGACACTTCACTAAGATGCACTATTTGTCATGTTCATGAAGCCATTCCTGGACAATCTTCCTGGCTATGGGCATTATCTCACAGAAAAAAATAATCTATTCCATGGTAAAACTCTGCTAGTATGAAGGCCTATACTTATTTACCAATGATATTCAGATATTGGCCTGCATCAAAATACCGCACAATCACTACCATGACAACCACCAGCCTATCAGGCCAAGCTATTTTTTCAATCCTCCATATTGTCATATCAAGGTACATTCTTTTAGTAGTCCTATGTGCATTCTTTTACTGTCCATTTGGCACCAGCAACATACTGCATTGCCAGTTGTAGACCGTCTATTGATCTGCACAATTTCTGTTAGACTTTAAGCTCTTTCATCAATGACCTGTTTTCACTCACTAGCTTGCTGTTGGCTGAAAGTCCTTTGGATGGCAGACAGTTCCAGATACACATGGTAGACTTCTTAGCAGTGTGGCACTTCTGTCCCTACTCCTGCCCACCTGGCACCTGGTCACATGCCCCATTCAAAGGCACTCGCTCAGTCTCCTGCAAAACACAGCATCTTAAAAATCTTTCCTCAGCCCCCCTCCCCTCTTCACTGAAATGGATCTAACAAGTGAAATTAGTTACAGGATTGTACCTTTAATGTGAATTAGTCTGGTCAGTGTCTTTGTAGGAAAGAGCAGGTGTCCCCGATGTTTCCTTTGAGAGTGTAGTTATTGAACAAAGTTTAAATTGAGTGATCGATCCAGCCATCCATTTTCTGAAACCACTTTTCCTATTCAGGGTGACTAGAGTCTATAGGGATAAAGCAGGGATCAATCCAGGATGGCACACCAACCTATCACACACCTACAAGCAATTTGGTAACTTCAATCAGCCTCAGCATGTTTTTGGACTGCAGGAGGAAACCAGAGGAAACCCCACAAGGACAACATGCAAACTCTACACATGGAACCCTAGTAGACACTCGAACCCAGGTCCCAGAGGTGTGTGGTAGCAGTGCTAACCACTGCCTAACCATGCCACCCTAAGCAACAGGTATTATAGGTGAATAATACATTCATCCAACTTCACTTAGTTGACTACTTTTCTGCTGATTTGCCAGCATTAAAGTTAATTTATGTCCAGCACAGGAATGGGTCCTCAGACCTGTTTTAAACACTCCTCAGAGTTCCCCACAGCTGTTCCTCCCTCCTGGCCTCAACTAACACCATAAAGGGAAGAACTGTCAACATGTTGCCCCTTTGACACATTTTTAATACAGGTGCAACTTGGTAAATAATTTGAGAGCCACCAGCATTTCAACTAGATTAAAAAAATCTTAAACAGAGCACTCCCCACACAAGTTAAGCAGTGACATATGGCAGTTCCCATATCCAAGAGTATAACACAGAGCACCACAGGAAGCCTGGCTTTTTATGTGTCATCTTCATATGATTTGCTAGAGTTTCATGTCCAGCACTGCTTAATTAAGGGATGCCTCCATAAAGAGAAGCCCGGCCTTCTCTCTGTCATTCATGGGGCGATTAACAGCTGGAAGCAATTCAGACTTAACTTTCAATTGTATAAATGTAGTTTCTGTTATTGTTATCCATTTCACATTGAAGTTAGATTTATTGTGTATTAAAGTAACTAATTTATAGAATCCTCTAGCTTCAAGAAGGGATTTATTACTTATTCATTCAGACTGCAACTCTCTGCATACTAGTTTAATTTAAGGGAATGTGCTCTTTCTGTTTTGGGTTCATGTGTATATTTGTATGTATGTATACACTCACCTAAAGGATTATTAGGAACACCATACTAATACGGTGTTTGACCCCCTTTCGCCTTCAGAACTGCCTTAATTCTATGTGGCATTGATTCAACAAGGTAATTCTTCAGAAATGTTGGCCCATATTGACAGGATAGCATCTTGCAGTTGATGGAGATTTGTAGGGCTGGACCACAATATTCGAATATTCGTTTGGAGGGATGGCATTCGAGTTTTCAGTTTGAGATTCGAATATTGGGGGGGGACAACACGTGACATCGATCCCTGCGAAACGGTTCTCATTCGCGCTTAAATGACTAGCCCTTGCGGCAACGCCAACATCGTGATTTACTCATGGGCGTAAATTTCACTTAACAGTAGGGG